AACCTGGTGTTTCCTCCTTGACTGTGCCGGGAAGACTTGGCATTTCTGGGAGGCGGCTCCTTTCTCGGCATCTCCAGACTGTGCTCGGACAGAAAGCTGCTTCAATTATGAGAGATCTTCACAGACAGAGCGCCCACCTTGATGGAGAGCTTCAGATTCCACCAGCTTAAGCACGATTATAATGCCTATGTCATCATCAGACATTGCACAGGACTCCCCTTTCTTTTGAGGAGATGTGCACTCACGAAGAGCACCTACATCAATGTATTTCTGTAATCTATACCAGCTTTTACTCTCAGCTGATACCCAGAAACCTCGATTTAAGACACAATGGGAAGAAGCACTTCACACCTCCTTTTTGAACATGTATAGGAAAAGATTATGCAGTACTGGAGCTCGTATCTCCAGAAGGATATTTATACTTTGGAGAGAATTCAGAGAAGGGCAACTAAACTGGTTCATGGATTACAGGATAAAACTTATAAGGGAAGGTTAAAGGATCTTAACATGGATAGAAACATTTAAATACATAAAGGGAATTAACACAGCAAGAGAGGAGACTATATTTAAAAGAAGAACAACTACCACAACAAGAGGACATAGTCTTAAATTAGAGGGGCAAAGGTTTAAAAATGATATCAGGAAGTATTACTTTACTGAGAGGGTAGTGGATGCATGGAATAGCCTTCCAGCTAAAGAGGTAGAGGTTAACACAGTGAAGGAGTTTAAGCATGCATATAATAGGCATAAGGCTATCCTAGCAATAAGATAAGGCCAGGGGCTAATGAAAGTATCTAGAAATTTGAGCATAATAATTCTTATCTGCCGTCACATTCTATTTCTATGATTATACTGGCACACTCCAGCTCACAAAGCTCGAGATTCCAAGAAATAAATTACAAAATACTGACTCAATGGTATGACATGCCCCATAGGCTCCACCGCTTTCTCCCCGAGGTCCCAGACCATTGTTGAAGATGCGGGAGCCTGGGTGCATTGCTTTTACATATGTTCTGGGACTACCCTTCCCTGACAAGTTACTGGGAGAAAACATTGTATACAATGCAGACACCCTGCAGATATGCTTCTCAACTACACCAAACTCCCAATCTCCAAGTTCAAAAAAACACTATCCAAAAACTTACTGACATCAGTACCAAACCTTATTCCTAGTACTGTGGTGTAGATCAGATCCCCCAACATTCCAAGCTTGGCTAGAGAGAGTAGAGGACATACGGAAATGTGAAGCTGACATGGCCATGCTTGCAGGCTTCCTTCATAAACATGAGGTAGTGTGGCATGCATGGCAATACTACTTGTGCACCAGTGAGGTAGGTTTGGGATGCTCAGAGGGTGGTGGGGCCCTCGAACCCCTGAAATGAATCTGTGAAAGCCACCCAACCTTTTAAGTTCCTTTTAACTCTCTTTGGTTTCTTTGCACACCTCTTACCCCCTCTTCACTCATCTTACCCCATCTTCTCTCTCCTCTCTGATGTACACCAATATTGAGTATACTAGAGTTACATGACTTTCAACATATTCACCTTAAAGGGACACTGTAGGCACCCAGACCACTTCAGCTCATTGAAGTGGTCTGGGTGCAATGTCCCATGTCCCTTAATCCTGCAATAGTTATTATTGCAGTTATTGAGAAACTGCAATAATTACTATCCAGGGTTTACTCCACCTCTAGCGGCTGTCTAAGGACCTCCAGTATTAGATTTTTCCCGATAGGAAAACATTGAATAATGCTTTCCTGTAGGAAAAACCTAATGCAAGCACGGCCATTTCTGTGCATGAGCATTAGGTCTCCCACACCGGCTGACATCAGCAGGGGAGGAGCATGGGCAGAGCCCCGGCACTGGATTTAGGTAAATCTTGTTTGGTTTGGTAAATCTCAAAACTGAAAAATAAAGACTGTCAAAAAAAATAAATTGCAGTCCAAAATTTAAATATGCAATCCCATGCTCTATATTTTTCTGAAATGCAAATCTGTCTTTCTATCTATCTAGGCTCAACTAGCATTTCAGGTTTTTATGATTTTCTCACATTATGGTGCATCGTTGAATTTGAGATTCGGAGATGCCATTATTGTAATAACACTAATGTTTAAACTTCTGGGCATGGCTTGGGGACTGACTCGACAATTATTGGGATATGCAACAATTCCATTCTTCTGTTAGATCTCTCCATGGGTAGTATTTTGGTTTGATGCTAATATTGAACATTAGAATTAGCACAGTTTTACACCATTAGAAGAAGCCATGAAATTCCAAATTGTCATATCAATTCCAACATATCCAAGGTCCATTAGATACTAGAGATACATGTTTGGATATCAATTTGGCCCTAAACTGGTTGAAACATACCTAATGATCTAATGCAAAGAAATACATATGTTTCTACGTCCATTAAATAATTAAATAATTAATAAATAATTAATTAATATAAAAAGCCACTTTATAATCATAATCATAGAGTTTATACTTTTCCTCAAACCTTATATGATGTATTTAATATGCATATATAATTATAAAATATTTACATGTCAGATATTTCCCCACAGATATGTCCTGAAACCGTCAAATTGCTTGTATACTGCTGGCCCTGACCCACCACATAACTAAAACAAAATGCACAATTCAACATTAAGTTCAATGTCTATTTTTAGTAATAGAAAATATGATTGCATTTAAAAGGTGGCTGAATATTTTTTAGTCAATCCCCAAGATATATTCAAGCAAGCTACCTTTATTTTATTATTAATCAGTTGTCTAAAGATATTTGAATAAACTGTAATTTTGGCAGTCTTTGCTATGGAATGTGTTCAGAGTCCTTGTACAAATGCCAGAGTTGCCATGTTATTGCTACAGAAGCATCACAGGATCAAAAGGGGCAAATTAGGAGAGGGGTTGACATCAAAAAAGCAAAATGAATACCAACAGACAAAACAAACCATCATGTTATGAAAAATCTGCATGACTTTAAAGAAGTTAAAGTTGGTATTATCACAAAGTCCAAGTAGAAAAGCAGTAATGCCATATTAACAGAAATTCTATTAAAATACAATTTACATATTTTTTGTCATTAATTTCAATACGTAGACAGACCGATATAGACAAAGAGAGAGAAAATGATAATTTAAATAAAATAATGTGACACAAATTTACAACTTTAACAACTTAAGCTATTAATATGTAAGATACTGTATGAACAGCTTTAATAGTATTTAGCTATTTCTATAGGGGACTGAATGGGGCAGGGTGACTCAGGGCCGATGCTGGGTGTATAACCAAGCTAGGCTCTGACCTTACTATATATTGATGTACTATCCTTTCGACTGATTGTGTGTGTGGGGATGATGGGGCAGGGTGACTAAGGGCCGATGCTGCGTGTATAACCAAGCTAGGCTCTGCCCTTGCATTTGGCTTCGCCTCTTGTATTAGAATTCTCCTTCACACTTGGCTTCTGGGGCCATCAGAGATCAGAATTCCCCTTTCCCTGGCCCAAGGTAAGCCTCAGGGACCGGGGAATTAACTAGTGCTACAGTCCCTATCCCCGCAATTGCAGCCCTAATGCCCCACCACAACCCTAACCATCTGCTACATCCCCCTACTTCCTACTACTGCCCCTAAACCCCCAACTGCAGTCCTGACATCCTACTACAGCCCCTAGCCCCCTACAAATGTCCCTAACTCATTACTACAGCCCTTTTAACCCAACAACAGCCCCTATTCCCACACTGAAGCAACTAACCATACTACAGCCTCCAAACCCCCTACTACATTCACTTATTCTCATTACAGCCCTTATCCCCAAATACAGCCCCTGTCCCCCACTACAGTACTAACACAACTACCAGAGGTGTGGTTAAATCTGTTATGTTTGTAAAGGTGAGGAGTTAGCAATATGGCCTCCAACTGGATGCGCATAAAATATTAATGCACTCAGGCATCAGTGACCCTAGGATCGACCTTGGGATGACTATTTGTATGTAGAGTGGATCACTAAATCTCCGTACTGCCCGTGCTGCATGGGTAGGCTGTGGTGGAGCTCAGCAGAGAAAGGGACATGAAATCACCGGCTCTGCTATTAGGAAAATCATTGCAAATTAGGAATTTAAGTATACACGATTGTGGGGTATTGGTGCCGACCCTGGCAATCGTGTATTATTGAGTGGCGTCATGAAAGGGCTAACCAATTTGCCAATCAAATTTCCTTGGAAACAGAATTCCTCTCGGCATTTAGAGAAGTTTAGTCTTGACTCTACCAATATTTTGCTAAGTATAGAACAGGTTAAAATAAAGCAAAAATCTAATAAAAATCAGTCAGTATATTTTAACGCACTCTCCTATCATATGGTGGAGACTTTTAATAACTGCTTGAGCTTGTCAAAAACATTTGCAAAATCAACAAAGAGTCCTATGAGAAGTCTGCTGAATAGAATTAAATGTAAAATATACATTTCCATGCAAACACTTTTAACCCAAGGAGTCCCAAAGGAATTACTCACATATTGCTGAAAGATAAGATTTTAATACATGGAAATTAAATGTTACCATTTAATAAGGCAAAACATATTTTTTTTATTTTGTACAATGTACATTACTATACACAGGCACTCTAAATTAACATATGTGCTTTTGAATTTAGAAGGAGTCTGTTGTACTATCCTTTCAATAATAAGGAATTAAAATGAAGATACTAAATAGTGCTTCCCCTAAGGAGGAAATTCAGCTGTGTTTATGTAGGAATTATAACCATTAATAAGGAAAGGAGGTCTATACAGAAACAAAAGTAACTACGGGAAAGCAGCAGAAATGGCAAGAGGGGGCCACTTTTGTGACCTAATAGCATTTTGTTTGCAAATCTTTTTGTTTTTACATTATTAATATTGATTTACTTTGCCTATGGCCTATTCAAAAATGCTATCTATCTATCTATCTATCTATCTATCTATCTATCTATCTATCTATCTATCTATCTGTCTGTCTGTCTGTCTGTCTGTCTATCTGTCTATCTGTCTGTCTATCTGTCTGTCTATCTGTCTGTCTATCTATCTGTCTAGATAGATAGATAGATAGATAGATAGATAGATAGATAGATAGATAGATAGATAGATATCCAATAATGTGGCTGCACTCACAGTCTTCTCAGTTTCAAATCTTTGAGTCATTAAAAAACGATCATCAACATTTCAACCCTCCATTCTGGACTTTCATCAGGATCAACAATATAAATAAGACCGTGAGTGCAGCCACATTATTGGATATCTGGATGATAGAAACACAGGCTGAAAAGCACCCTGCAGTAATGGATTATTAAGCCAGAAGTGCAAGAGAACATTCCTGATATATATATATATATATATATATATATTGGATTAGCCAAAAGTATTGCAGTATGTAATACCGTATGTAAATATAATACTTAAAAGACAAGCTTTTGAGAGTTTTCCTCTCTCCCTCAGGTCTATTGATCAGTATTGCTTCCAACCTAAGGAAGAGAGGAAAACTCTTGAAAGCTTTTCTTTGAAATATTATGTTTAGTACAATAAAAAGGTATCATTGCATACTGCAATACTTTTAGCTAATACAATGGTTAGTGACCAATCTGTGCTAGAAATGTATTTTCCGAGTAGAAAACTAAGCTTGCTTAGTATTGCCTTAACCTATGCTTATATATATATATATATATATATATATATATATATATATATATATATATATATATATATATATATTGCTTTCTGGGTTTTATTCTGTTTTATTATTCCTTACAAGTGCTGTAGGTAGCTTAATTAGACAATGATTAGTAATATTTAAAGACATAACATGTCCTCATTGAGTAGTTTTGCACTTTCTTTCATTATTAAATATATCCTTTAAACCATGGTTTTAGTCCCTCTCTGTATAATTAAAATAGCTGTGTTGTAGTCTAAGGTACAATATCATGAACTTGAGACAAACACACAAATACACACGTACTTGCCAATTGATATTTTATTATATTTATTTTGTTATATATTTTATTATAATTTATTTCATTTTATTTTTTTTACTCCTCTCTCCGGTCAGGATTAATTTTTATGTTAGTATTGGTTTGAGGACATAGGATATTGAGCTTAATAGTAATATAGGACATGTATTTATAATAACCATAATTTTTTGTTTCCTAGCTATAACATCATGTTATAGGACTATTTATGTGATCTATAAAACCCTTATATGTATAATGTATACTTGAGTGTAATGGAGTAAGTGTTTGTCCCAGTTTTTCCCTATTCGTCTTATTCTCTTTTCCATTGTTGTTTTTCAACATAAAAATTCATCAAAAATTCAATTAAAAAATATTTGAAAAAATTGGGGACTGAACCGGTTTTGAACCAATTTTGCAATTAAGAGATGGGAGTCCAAGCTGTTTCCATAATGTACATCCCTGTCAAAAAAGAACCACTGTTCTAAATGAATTATATAATATCAACAGCAATATTTATTAACTTAAAATAGGTAATACAAGTAGGAATGTATGGGAATTGTGGTTCCTTAAAAAAAAGTCTCACTGGTAAGTTTTAATCTGCAATCCAACCCGGTTGTGCACTTTGGCCATCATATGTCTTGTAGCAAGTGACATATATCTCCTGATATTCATTACACGCATTTCTGTAGCGTTTTATATTGGCTTCAAGAGTCTCTAACGTTCATAAATTAATTGGCAATATAATATATGATAATGGTGAAGAAAGGGAAGGTAAAAAGTTAATTGAGATACTCCCTATGGTTGCAGACACTACCACCAAATAATTCCCTGTCAAATGTATTTAGAGTTAAGTCAAAAGAAAAATCTCTAATAGAGGTCAAGGGCAATTATGATTGCTACAGACCACAAGGAAGACTCCTGTTATTAAGTAAGGAAGGTTATATAAAATAAAGACTAAATCACAAAACTTGTATGATCTTCTTTTAACATTGTTTCTATGGAAACTAACAGTGGTTGATGTTCTTGGTATAGAATGTAGGATGCAAACTAATAAATCTTATAGCTGATTGGCAGATCGCAATGTTCTGTGTTTTCCGATGAAGAGAAAGGAAGTTTTGAGAATAGATGTAATTATGACAAATCATATTTATCATTACAATCATCAAATATTGTCCATGTTGAAAAGAAGTGAAGTTTTCTAAAAAATGTGGTTCAATGGCTTTGAACAAATGGTTTACCAGATGTCCCTGGCACAACTTCCTCCTTCAATGAACACTTTGCAAAGATGGGTTGTTTATTAGAAGAATATATGTGCTTTGCTTCAATTACCTGACAGGAAAACAGAAATGACGTCCAATATGTGGCATCTGCTGTGAAATCAACATAAAGCGTTTTATTTATATATCTATATATATTTCCAATATCCTTTCTATTCGCATCCAACCACTTATGCTTAATACTATTCAGACTTTAGAATGGAACCCATGTCACCCAGCATTCATTAAACAACTGTAAACATCCTTTTTAAAATGCATACCATTTATACTGCTATACAATTTGTGTGACTTGTTGTTTTGAGCAAACAGCTGTAATAACAAATTATACCTTATAGGAAGAAAGTAAACAAAAGAAAATTAACTTGTTGAAATGCAAATTTTTATACAATAACTGTTAATGAAGAAGTGCATGAACTGTAGTATTTTGAAAGCGGGTATTGTGGTTGACAATTATACATTGAGGTTTAGATACAGTATGTATGGTTATTTGGGTATTGTAGCTAATTTATGCTAATCATATAGGTTTATTTGTTTACTTTTGAACTGAGGTAACACAGTAGCTGGAGAAAAACTTTTTAATTCCACTTTTTCTTTTTTTTTGGTTATAGCTCACAATTTGACAGGGATAGTCATTAGATTGTTAATTGTGAATTGATTTATATAATAGCCAGATTGAAAAAAAGCTCCACCATCATGGTCTTAAGTTTATAAAAGTTGGTAAAGGAAAATTAGTGGAGCACTTATATTTACTTACCCTATATGTATAAAGTTTGAATTACTTTGTGCCAAAAAAGAATAGTGTGATATGATTTAAACATACCCATAAAATAGTATATAAGTTGTGAGTTAGAACCACTCACATTTGATTGAGCCTCATAATAACTTACATTTGTTTTATAGCTGTTACATACTTAAATACCAGGAGGTCCCTTTGGACAAAACGCGTAGGACCTGGTGCCATAACAGCTTATATATATATATATATATATATATATATATATATAATTCTTTTAATAAAGAAGAAATCCTTTTTTACTCCATATCCTGAGTCCTATTACGCCTTCCTTGAAATAGGAAAAGTGATTCTGCCCCCCCATCTACATCAGGGGAGGCACCCTTGGGCGTTATCAATTCATCTATCTTGTGAGTTATACTCTACACAGCGCACTTATACTTTACTAAACAGTGTTACACTATTATTTTGTTTTATATATTTTTTTGTAGATCCACAGCTGTATCCTCATTTTGTATATATCTATCATATAATGACTCTGATCTTATATAATATGTGCCTTTAAGGTGGCACACCATCTACACAGCGATTTTGGCTTGGTGGACCAAGAAATAAAAAAAAGAGAATATACAGAATCTTGTGTAGTATATTTGAAGGTCATACTAAGTGCACTATTTTGCTGTGCTCGTCCGGTTTTGACCCTATTTAAATACTGGCTTGGTTATGTAAAACGTGTGTCAGTTAACAGAGACAGCCCTGCTCTCGCGATTTCAGCAATCTTTGAAGTTGTCAAAAAATAAATATTCCAAAAGGATGACACAAAACTCACTAAACAGGGAGGAGAGACTGACAAGTTGAATGCATCATTTAGAGCGGCAGTGCCCAAAATGTAGACCACCAGATGTTGTAGAACTACAATTCCCAAAATGATTTGCATGCCGTTAGAATGCCTTAAGAATGACAAAGCATCATGGATGCTATAGTTTTAAAACATCTGGGAATCTACCTCTTAAGCACCCCTTATTTAAAGACAGGGGCTAAATGAAAAAAACAAACAAAAACAATTAACTTCCATTACTTGAGCTACATTTTAGAATTTATGTTCCATCTTCCTACTATATTATTTTTAGTAGATGAGAACTAGAGTTTATAGGAGAAGCCTTACATGTTTATGAAATGCAAACTACAAAAAGAAAATAGAAATAATTTTGCAAGTAATGTTTGTAAGGAAATCCTTTGTAATGAATATTGGGGGGGGGGGGGTAAGACTATTAAAATACAACATATATTTCTTTTGGTTAGAATTTAGAAAGAAAAAAAAGAATATGAAAATGCAACTATATTTATTTTGGTTAGAATTTAGAATGAACATATTGTCCTTAACCCCTTCATTGCCTTTAAAATATTGACAATAATGGATACCTTACCTTCCTCTGTAATCTAGCATTACATTTCAGACTGTAGAAATCATTTGGATCAAAAGGGCTTTAACATGGTAGCCCCCTCTTTCTTTTTTCCACAAAGTAAGCATGGAATGAGTGCTAAATTGTCAGTGAATACCTAGTTTGGATTACCTGTAAGCTGTTGCATTATGCAATAGTTAACTCCAACTATACCTATTGCATGTGGGTGTTATTCGTACATACAGACATTTTATGTAGCAATTATATGAAGCTACATTGCTAAAAATGCCATAAGGTTACTTAATAAAACCTATTGCCACAGAATTGACATACAAAAAGGTGACAAATTAAATATTTTACTTAAATATTGAACGCACTATGAATATCACGCTTCATATAAACTATATGGCAAGATTTTAAGAATAAAAAGTGCTAGTAGTAAAAAATATTAACCCATTCAGTGCTAGACATATTCCCATCTCTTTGCAAAATCACTGGCAATGCTGCAAAATGAATGGTCTCTTCTGGAAAGAAGGCAAGGCCTAAAGAAAGGGGATGTCGATCAGGAGTGAATGCACACCAGTCAGTAAGACAGCCTCTCTGGCCAATTCCATCCAGGGAAGACTATGTACAGAGCACTGGTGAAACTCTCTATGCATGGTCCTAGGACTGTGCTGCCAAATCTGGGACTGTTGGGGATATATAAAAAGTAAATTCTGGTCACACGTTTTACAATCAAAGGGT